GTGCTTCCTGTGTGCTGTTTTGTTTTTCATTGCTCGACCATTGTATCTGTGGTTTGTCCCTGAAGTTTCGCACAAACTTCGCAGACAAGCGTTATCACGTCCGCGTCACCGCTACGGGTGCACATGCCAGGGCACATTGAAGTGACAGCGTACTTGTCGTATGTTGCGACACGACACCTCAGAAAAAATCGAGTGAGAGAAGGAGGGAAGAGTAACTGTGCTTCGGTAGGTGATTTACTGCGTTCGAATTGTGTTTGTTTTTCAAGTTATACTTTCTCGTAAAAAAACGTGAGCAATAAAGCCCAGAGCTGCTTGACGTCTCTGCAGCCTCTGTTCCATCTCCTTGTTTTCTTCTTTTTTAAGCCAGCGCAGCGCATTACGCTGAGCAAACCGTCCATGATGCCGCAAGCGTCTCACGCTTCTGCACATGAGGACCCGCAAAAGCGCGGAAAGACTGAAACCTTTCAAAAAGCTGAAGCTCAAATGACGCGAAACGTGACCTGTACGAAGCTGGCTCGAAGGAAACGCAAAAAAAAATGACCATAAAGAAGACACGAAAAGAACGCGCTGAATAAGGCTGCACCACATTTCGCGCTCAAATTCACGCAGCGTGCAGAAGACTCACGGTGAAAACAAATATGTACGGGGAACCCAGAGTGAAAAGCGATTGTTAATCGTGTTTGTTTTCGCCAAACGGATGCCTCTATTCGAAAGTCACGTTTCTTTTTGCAAGCGGATCCTTACCGCCACAAAGAAAGGATGCATAACCAGGCGCTACCGCGAGTCGGGCGAACCAATGCGCGTGGCAAAAAAAAAACTTCGATTACCGGAGACGATAGCTGCTCTTCACGGCTACCGATTTCACTTTCTCGGCGACTTTAACAGGCCAAGTACAGGCAAGTAAGGCGAGATTGTACACCGTGGGAGCAGCCAGGGAAACGGAGGGTTTACCTCGTGTCTTGCACCCTCCCGAAATTTTCTGTTTTGCACGTGTATATATGCACACACATATACAAGCTCACAACTGAAGACACATGAAGGGTGGTGAAACGTACCTCGCAAGCATTTGTGGCTACACCTCTCCTGTAAATTGCTTCGCGAGGGGCCGTAATTTACTCGTGAACTAGCGTCTGTTTACAGAACTATGTCAAGAAGTAGAAAATTCCAAATGGATACGGCACGTGCTGGGACACCTACTGCGTTATCGAGTGAATTGGACGATCATTCGAACAGGAACACGGACCACAGTTGCCGTTGTGCGTATTTAAAAAGGAGCCAAAGCTGAACCTATGAGTAGCTGAAGGAGCCACATCATTTAGTTCATGTAGCCCAACAGAGTAGAACCACTATCTTGAAGGCAGATATACAGGGAAGAATGATTCCTTAGGTCCTGAGGAGCAAACAATTGCAGTCATAGAGAGTACCCCCGACTTGCTCGGCTACTCCTGTGTTAGAGCCGCGAGGCCATCCACTCTCACACGTATCCTCGGGACTGGCTTGGACTGCTCTTTCAGTTTAGAGCTGGTGATCTCCAAGTATTTGCTGTGGTTGAAGCCCTGTGATACAGGACACTGTGAGGTCATGTTGGTTAAAACACGAAATTCTTTCCTGCGATCCGAATAATGAGCTTCTAGCTGTGTGTGCAGCCTTCTATTCAAGGAAACCTGTCGATGGGTACGGATTTGTTCGTAGCATCCTGAGCATACGAGACTATGCCGTGCTCAGGGTAGTTTTTAGTATTGTACAAGAAGCATTACCATTCTCAATAACCAAGCCCATAAAAATATTATCAGGCGCATTTTTTCCCTTTTCGTTTAATCTTCAAGACGCAGAGAAACTGCAGATAAATCAATAAATTACAATAAATTCAGGGCGGTTGCGTGTTGCTAGTGTAAAATAGGCGTTCGTGCCAGATACAGGATGATATTTTAACAATCAAGTCAACAAGTAAAGTAGCAACACTGCACATTTAATTATTTTTTTGAAGCAGCATACATATTTGACGTGTAAAGTAGGTATAATACTAGTCCAGCTTCAGGTTGTGAAATGTGCTTGAAGATGAAGAGCGTAGTTTCATTCTGTTTGAGACATCTCTTTTCGTTAATATTCACTAGAACATGCACTGTGCATAACAACTAGAAACTTGCGCATAACATGAGCATAAATGACAGGCAGCGGGAGGAGCCTGTCAGTACGTTCTAAGCGATACGAACGTAACATCGCCGCTGAATGTTTGCAGACACGCCGTTTATTGCTTTGGGCTGCCTCTTTCTCGCATCATGCTGCTAGTGCAGAGAAGTACGCCATGCGTGTCGGCTGACATGACAGCAAAGCTTAGGAACAGTGGGTTTCATCTGCAAATAATAAAAAAAATAGCTACTCGATGCACAAAAAACAAATTATGAAGCAGCCAGAAAGAAGCCATAGAGCTAACTGGAAGTTTTCATCGCCAGACAGGGTCGCAAAGTAGTCAATTTAGAACGAAGTATCCAGCAACGGCACCTCCGACATGCACCACATGATCACGCTATGTCTTGCTATATTAAACTCTGCTGAACAATCACCCGACCGTGATGTAGTGATGAGCAATTTAACGACATTAATGCGTAACGCTTGTGTACCTGCAGTATGTTAAAAGTGTATTATGTGTTGCTTGTTCTTGAGTTCGGTATTCTCTTGTTAGCGCGCACATGGTGCATGATATGAGAAAAACATTTGTTGTTTGTACGTGTATGCAATAAATGTGTATCTGTGGTGAACTTCAGGTGCAAAAGCCTTGGACAGGGGTATAACGCGACTTTCCCTTCTGTCTTGTGTCCCAAAATTGAAATATGTAGTACTCCTCCTCCTCCTCCTCCTCCTACTATTACTACTACTACTACTACCACCACTACTACTACTACTACTACTATACTACTACTACAACTACTACTACTACCACCACCACCATCACCACCTTCATGCCTTTCCTTCTATTGCTCCTCTTCTTTCTTATTTTCATCTTTCTAGATTTTTTGGTCACGGTCTAGATGATTTTAATGTGATAGCGTTAAATAGCTCGTTTCGCAGATATTCAGGTGCCAACGTCGGTGTCGATCCAAAGATCATCATCTTTGCGTAAAAAAATGGACCATGGCGTGGCTGAAAAATTGGGAAAGACGCAAACACAATAAATACCTTGGGTCTGAGTGGCGATCTTACCCGGGTCGTTTGCGTGGCAAGCGAGCGTTCTACCGCACACCCAAGCCTCTGCTGTGAAATTAGCATTTCTGCTTGAAAATGTAGTCAAGGTAACTATCTTGCTTTACAAACACACGTGTTGTATATACATGCTTCACAATACAACAGGAAATATTTCCGCAATGACGCGTGATGCAAGCGTACATTGCCATCGGGTGTTGGAACATGGTAATATCATGATGACTTCATAATTTAAAGCCCGTCACCCAAGACAAAAGGCACACAAGTTACTTCACCTTTAAGGCCATCTTGTTGGTGCCTAGAATGGGAACAGTTAGGGATAAGAGTTAATGGAGAATACCTTAGTAACTTGCGCTTCGCCGATGACATTGCATTGCTGAGTAACTCAGGGGACGAATTGCAACTCATGATTACGGAGTTAGCCAAGGAGAGCAGAAAGGTGGGTCTTAAAATTAATCTGCAGGAAACGAAAGTAATGTACAACAACCTCGGAAAGGAGCAGCGCTTCGAGATAAATAATAGTGCACTTGAAGTTGTAAAAGACTATGTCTACTTAGGGCAGGTAATAACCGCAGAGCCTAACCACGAGATTGAAGTAACTAGAAGAATAAGAATGGGGTGGAGCACATTCGGCAAGCACTCTCAAATTATGACAGGTAGATTGCCACTATCCCTCAAGAGGAACGTATATAACAGCTGTATCTTGCCGGTACTTAGCTACGGAGCAGAAACCTGGAGACTTACAAAGAGGGTTCAGCTTAAATTGAGGACGACGCAGCGAGCAATGGAAAGAAAAATGGTAGGTGTAACCTTAAGAGACAAGAAGAGAGCAGAGTGGATTAGGGGACAAATGGGGGTTAAGGATATAATAGTTGAAATAAAGAAGAGGAAATGGACATGGGCCGGGCATGTAGCGCGTAGACAGTATAACCGCTGGTCATTAAGGGTAACTAACTGGATTCCCAGAGAAGGGAAGCGGGTTAGGGGGAGACAGAAGGTTAGGTGGGCAGATGAGATTAAGAAGTTTGCGGGTATAAATTGGCAGCAGCAAGCACAGGACCGGGTTAACTGGCGAAACATGGGAGAGGCCTTTGTCCTGCAGTGGACGTAGTCAGGCTGATGATGATGATGATGATGATGATGTTGTTGGTGCATAAAAAGGTAGAATATATTTCGCACACTGTTTGAAGTACGCACTAGGAACAGAATATCACTATTGCACTAAATTCTTCAAGGTGAAGCTTAATTGTCTTCGACTTTTTCACTCACAATCAATGACGCCGACGCCAGAATTTTCCTTAACAAGCTCTTTAATGCTATCGCGATTACTAGTATATCTCACTGTTGAAAGTACAGTAAAATAACATCATATAAGCTACAGCGTTGAAGCTCCCTGCCGCTACAATCGGATTATTAAAACATGTTTTTTTTTCTTTTAGTAAGAGTAAAATCAACATTAGTTAGCAATAAAATATATATATATATTTCCAAAAAAATTGCCTTGTTTTTCTATGCTGCTAGATTCAAACAAAAGTTGAGCCTCGTCTGCATTCGTTTAAGTAAATGCGCGTGCTGATCCGGCAACTTTTCTGCCGGGTATCAATAATTTTACTTACCTAATGCTTAACACGATATTGTTATGATAACAACAAAAATGAAATTTAGCAGCAAAATTTTTGCAATAACATAGCAGTATGGTTTTGCTATTTAGTTTGACTCTTCTGGTGTAATCGCATGATGCTCTTTTTGCTAACAACTTTGACTGCTTGCATCTCCTAATTGTTTTTTTTTTATTGCAGGTAGTTTTCCTCATGACAAAGGCGGATGAAGACATCATAATGGATTACGACAGTGGTGCGTATCATGGCGCAGCCATTGCGATGGAGCGCAACTTTTTGCAATTGTGATTCAGGGCACTCAGTTTACTTTAATCTGAGCTCCTGTGCTTGTACAATTAAGCGTGAGATATCATGAGTATGCAAAACAGGTTGCAATGCTGAATAAACAATGTCGGGCCTTATTTAATGTCTTTCTCCAAACATGCAGGCTAAGCACATATTTATATGAAAACGACAAGAACAATTGACGACGGCCCACTGAATCAGAAATGACATAAATGAAAGGCAAACGCACATTCTAAAAAAATTATGCGTAGAGCCTACTTTTGCAGGAATCTGAACGTGAAGTAAAACAGTGTTATATACATTTAGGGGTGAAACCTAGAAGCGCAAGGATGGCGTAAAAACACTCACACAAGGGCATTTCTTTTTACTTTTTGCTTATTCTTGCTCAGCCCTCTGAAAACTATAAAATACCAATAAGTCCACATACCAACCCTCGTACAAATCCATTCTAACAACGGTTGCATTCGAGTTAAATGGTAGCTTCAGAGAGCAGGGCAATAAAACCTGGCTTATTGATTTAGCTAAAGGCCTGTGATTTTACCCCCCCCCTTCCCCAAGTGTTTGTGACGTAAATAATCGGGATTGAATGAACTCGACTTATAATCCCGACCCCTTTCAGCAAGGGTAGATTGAGTCAATGAAGTCCTACTACCGTGCACGCCGTTCTTCAAGCAGCGCCAGTTACATCAGTAAATTTGATATGAGTGACGCACCGTAAAAATAGGACAAGAAGAAGACAGCTTAACGAATTGTAATAAAAAGACACAGTTTCACCACGAGGGTGAATCAAGGAGTGCGATAGCAAGAAACCTTAATGGCATGCGAAGTGGCAGCTACCTCTTTTAGATCCGATCTCATGCAACTCAGCAAACGCTGGTGTAAAAGAATGCGGCCTGCTTTAGGGACACTTTTCGCACAGTATCTTCGCGTTGAGATCGCTGCACACAGCCGCCCACTGATGGTAGTCGAGATAGCTATATAGCGTGCGCGCTAGCGTTGGTGAGATCGCCCGTAAAATGAAACTTCACAGTTGCCGCTCGAACAACAGCCTCCCCCTCGCGTCTTTTCATGCTCATTATAGCCGAGCGAGTTGATTCCTTTGCACTTGAGCATTCGACAGCGGGTGCAACCAGCGTGGGGAAACTATCGGATGTGCCCTCCGAGCGACGTAGACGAGCTGGCTCGTTTGACCTCTGCTTCAGCCGCGTTCCTCGCTCATGCTCACGCACTATCACCCGCGGGTAAGACGTAAAATGCGCAGGTGAATCATTATTATGGGCTTTTCTACCGCATTAAAACATTCGGAGATTACCGTGAATGTTGCCGACTACAGATCCGACTCAGTCACCATTGCGCCTCATGCTAGTAGAACTCGGTCATCTTTTGTCGACAAATAATAAATCATTAATATGAGGACGGCGTCACGCATGGAACAATGATAGGTTCATGTGATTTCATTATCACAAACAGTTAAATGCTTTAAAAAACTGAACAAACTGTGCACACATGCACGACGACTGACAAACACAGTAAACGCCAAGAAAATGCAAATATACACTGAGGGAAACATAGATACGCTTTTAATCATGAGTCCATGCCAGCGTATTGGCTCTTGTCAACAAATGCATTTCAATGGGCTTGCTTTTGGTAAGCACGTAAATAAGTCATACATGTCTTTTTCGAATAGCTAATATCGGTATCAAAGGTCATGCTTTTGTTCGCTGAGTTCCGATACACCGTGCTTTACTCAATGGATAATGTTCAACATAAAATCGGATAATTTTAACAAGAAAGTTCTTCATGATGAGGTCTATTGAAACTTATACTCCACCAAGAAAGTGACGTTTATAAAAATGCACGCTAACACATAAAAAAATTCTGTGAATACGTTCCCACAACTAGAAATTAACCTTCGACCTTTTGGCCCGCCACGACGTGCAGCCAGGGCTCTGTACCACCTGAGCTACCAACGTAGATGCGCGACACTCTGCAAGCGTGTCTCAAAACTTACTCAAGTTTTGTGCAGGCGTAACTAGTTAGCAGGAGAAACGTGCGTGGGCTTAAATCATCCGACTGTGATCGCACAACGCTGCTCTTGCTGCAGGGATTTCACTGAACAGCGGAGGCGATGCGAAAACTCCAGTATACGTCGCCGAGTTAGTATATAGAACTGATGCAGCACAACCACCGTGAGAACAGACATGCACCGACTGAACACGTAGCGTCTCACAAATTCCTCTCATCGTTTGTTTTTCTGACGTTCACACTATTATTCTCAGTACGAAGAGGGCGCTGAAAATTATCGTCTACTCAGTGGCGTCTCTCGCAAATGCCGCTGCTGTCACTAATGGAAGTTTCGGGGTTCACACGTTCGCCGGGCTCGTAGCGGGGCGTAAAACTCGGGCGGTGTTTGACGTCACCACCCTTTCCATCACCACGGTGGCACTGCAGCTCAGCCGAAGATGCCTTTAGTAGCACATATAGAAAACAATTTGCTGAATATGCAGGTAAAGCATGGCTTTCGAGATAGCGCACCGTAGCGTACTCTCGGAGACCGTGGTTAAAGCGCCAAGGTGTGAGCCTACTAAATGCGAAACATTTCTTTACGTACGGCAAGCACTTTTGGTATCTATCTATATCTATCTATCTATCTATCTATCTATCTATCTATCTATCTATCTATCTATCTATCTATCTATCTATCTATCTATCTATCTATCTATCTATCTATCTATATCTACATTCATATCTATCTATCTATCTATCTATCTATATCTACATCCGTATCTATCTATCTATCTATCTATCTATATCTACATCCATATCTCTCTATCTATCTATCTATCTATCTATCTATCTATCTATCTATCTATCTATCTATCTATCTATCTGTCTATCTATCTATATCTACATCTATATCTATCTATCTATCTATCTATATCTACATCCATATCTATCTATCTATCTATCTATCTATCTATCTATCTATCTATCTATATCTACATCCATATCTATCTATCTATCTATCTATCTATCTATCTATCTATCTATCTATCTATCTATCTATCTATCTATCTATCTATCTATCTAGCCGCTTACGTTTGGGTGCATGCTCTCGTGGTCACCCCCTAAACTAGGCGTGAACCGAAATTAGCACGGGAGGTTAAGATAGGTGTGCCGGATGTGACGCACTTGTCAAGACATTGACTAATGCCACATTCCCGTCGTCTACGTCGTAAAAACCTTCCCACCAGGTAGTGGCACATAGCCACGGGTGGGTATGTGCCACTGGTATGTGGGCATATGCCACAGGTAATTGACACTTCGCATCCTATCTACCCAGGAATGACGAGAACACATATCGGCAACTTTGACGCATGAGCGTTAGGAAAAACCTGGAATCGGCAGCGTTGACCGGATGAATGCACCGAATGAATGTCGGTATCCCAGCAGGAATGTAACCCAACTGTTATGTGTGGCATTCAAGCACTCCACCACGGAGCCACGCTAGGACTTGAAACTACTTTTCAAATAGACCTTAATGTTAGTGAAACGTCAATTGCGGTTGCGGCGCTGGCTATAAAATATTATAAACTTTACATATCTACTCGTGCGATACAGCCATTACGTCTGGCTAACGTCAATTGCAGTTAGGTTCTATGCGCTGAGGTTGATTTATGTAGCAGTTTCCAAGGCTACCATCCTCGAGAACATCAGCGCTTCATGTCATCTTATCGTATCTGGTGTTACTAACACTGATGTTCTTGTTGGCCCCGTTGCGCAACTTCAAAGAACTAGATCCACAAACATCTTCAACTCTTTAACATCTTTGTGCATGTGCAACAACAATACATATATTTAGCGTCATTACATGACGTGTAGATCGATAAAAAATTTCAAAACGGTCACCTTCACTCCGCATACTTCGCATAACGTCTGTTCCGAAGGTACGTGGGATCGGCTGAATTTTCGATTACTTGTTATGCTTGCTATATATGCTCCACGTTCCAGCTCTTTTAGGTCATATTTGCTCGAGATTCACAAAACGCTGTGTACAGGTATGTGCTAAAAACTTCAGCTTGCACAACGGTTGAGTCGTGATCATGGACAATATTCGTCGCGATGAAGATGAGTCCGCTACAGGTGTCAGCGCGAGGGCATCCAGGTCAAGCAGTGGTGTAGCTGCGAAACACTAATAACGTCTCATATATAACTACACTGTAAGCAATACACCTTTTGAATACACGTTTCACATATTGAATACACATATTGAATACACGTTTCATTTTCTTGTTATGCCAATTCCTAAAGCAGACGAATCAGGCAAGTTTTTCATTCCTCGGAGAGCACCATAAATGGGCCTCTGCTACGATTGCGCTCAACTTATTTCTCTAAATACGTTATTTACTACTTACATAATCTAGTGTAGCGTACCAAAATGCGTTAAAAAGAAAAGTAAACTATACCACAAAAACATTGCAGTGCAAAAATTTTCGTCAGTGTGCAGTTTAAGTGTTCTCCATGAGAATGAAGGAGAGAGCTGATGAAGAAGGTTGGGGGAGGGGTAATTGAAAGACATACTTCTAGTTTGCTACCCTTCTGGAAGAGAAGTGCGAAAAGGGCATATTCAGAAGAGTGACGACAAAAATTAGGTGGGAGAAAAAGAATTATAAGAGTTGTGAAAACAGAGAATAGGAGTTCTTTGAATATGTGGGAATTTCAGGCACATAGAGAAGCTTTCGCGTCTGCATTTCAGAAATGTATACACCTGTCTAAAACATGTGTCTGCCATGCAGATTTTCTTGATCCGTGTTACTGCATTGGCTGAATACTATATTGTTTCTTTAAACATGTTGCTCTTACAACCGCAGCTTTAAATGTAGGTAATAACCTAATCATTTTGCGTTGGTATCGGGCATAGGCCTTATTTTGAAGCACGGAATACTTCCC